TGTAATAAATAAAATAAAAGTAATATTGTTTTTAATTTAAAAAATATTCAATAAATTACCTTATATAGAAAATTATCTTCCGCATGATTAAATGTATGTTCAGTAGGTAATGGCGAATAACTTGGAGACCTTGGTGAATCCATAGCGTGTTCTCCGTCAAATAACTAAAATAAAAATTGAAATTAACATTTTTAAAATATAATAATATATTTTAAAATTACCAATGGAGCGTTTCGAGCCTTTATTTCTATAAAAATGCCAGCTACATGCGCAGCAGCTAATAACTGAATTTGACTGGTTAAGATTGGCTCCGATTGAACGATCTGGTAGTCAGTATTCTTATTTATGAACATTTTTATCTCTTCTTCATTTACTGGAGGTGATTGCATCTGGCTAAATTTTTCTTCAAAGAACATGACATACCCTCTAACTTGTTTTGAAAACAATGTACTGGTATATTATGACCCCGTCCGGTGAAAGATTTCAAAAATAGTGCCTTCCAAATATTGAAGACGTACGTTTCCCCAGCCCCCCCACCTCGTGTTTTCGCAATTTTTTTTTGCAAAACATTTAGTACTGAATTTGTACGAATTTGTACGATAAGAAACACAATTTGTATGAATTAATTTATGCAGTTAATCCAAAATTTGAGTGGGGGGGTTGTAGAAACGTTTCACCAGCCCCCCACCACACTAAAAATACTTTTTTTCACAAAACAACTATGCAAATATTTAGTACGGAATTTGTACGAATTTGTACGACCGTCAAAAATATTTTTTGAAAATTCTTTCATCCCCAAAAACACATTTTACTCTTTTGCCGTTTCCCCAGCCCCCCCACCACACTAAAAATACTTTTTTTCACAAAACAACTATTCAAATATTTAGTAGGTACGGAATTTGTACGAATTTGTACGACCGTCCAAAATATTTTTTGAAAATTCTTTCATCCCCAAAAACACATTTTACTCTTTTGCCGTTTCCCCAGCCCCCCCCACCACACTAAAAATACTTTTTTTCACAAAACAACTATGCAAATATTTTGTACGGAATTTATATGAATTTATAATTATTATTACGAGTATTTTGTACATTTTAAATACAGCGTGAAATTCGTAAACTTGTAGGAAGCTACGCAAAATCACTACTTAACTATAGATTGTAGAATCTAAAACGTTACTAGTTTTGTTATATATGTGACTTACACACCGTTGGTGTCCACTCACCGTTGGTGATTAGTGACTTATGACTTTCGAGTAATAAATCATTTTTACGCTCCTGTTGATCGTGTTTTAGTTATTATTTATCACAATATTCTTAGAAATTATATATTATAAAACATAAAATAATATGTAAAAATATGTCAGGTTAAGTGAAAAAACATCCTTTATTATCTTTAAATACATCATTTTTATGATAATATACCTTATATTAACACCTTACCAATTTAAATACTGTATATAACGAATTCACAAATTACTTTCGTATTCTCTTTTGATGATACAGCTTTCTTTTTTAGGTCATCTATTAATTCCCATTGTTTTCCACTTCGTTTGCAGTAAGCATTGTAATGCCCTACTGATGTTCTTAGCTTACTATTTCCTCTACGATAATTTACTACTCCTCGTAATTCATATGTTAAATCTTTATATATTAAAACTTGAGGAATATCACATAACTGTACTTCAATTAAGTGACCTACTTCTGAACTACATGTTGTTTCATCATCTGTAACATACCAAAACAATGTATAAATTAAAAAAAAAAAAATCAAAGTTGATTTTTTTCACTTACTGTTCCAATATAGAATTTCTATAACAATATGTTCATTTGAAAGAGTTGGTGTTAAAGTTTTGATTCCACTACAATCTTTATAACAACATACATTACTCTCTGTTACCATTCGTTCATTTATAAACATTTGCAAATCTTGTATGCTCTCATTAGATGTTTGATATGCTATGTAGGTTACGGGTTGTCTTGTGGGCCTTTTGCATTCCAAGTTTGAACAAGTACCGATTTCAAATAGGGTTGGGGTTTCCTTCAGCATACATTTAATGACTGATGCTATTGTAGTGTCACATTTATTTATTTATTTATTTATTCATTTTACATTACGGGACTAGCCCAAAGTACAGTTAATGGAATAAGATACAGACAAAACATTATAATAATATTGATATAAAACAAAGACTAAAGATTAAAGACTCGAGAGGTTCTCATTTGCTAAACGCATCATTCGGTGGATAGGGTGGTTTCGGCCATAGTTAGTGGTGTGTCGAGGAACGTAGTAGGAGGCCTGGTAGGTTAGCCTGGAAGACCTACTTGGAACACGAAAGTTTACCTCAGCGAGAAGCTCGGGAGCATTTATGGTACCATTCGTAAGTTTATTTAGGAAGATAATGTTGGCAAAAACTCTTCTATCGGAAAGACTACTAAGTTGTAAGTGGTGTAAGACTGGGGAATAATCGTGAGGTTCATGATGGATATTAAGACAAAAGGATGCAAAATTAAGGAATTTACGCTGAACACGCTCAAGTAGGGAAGAGTCAGAGGTTGTATAAGGATCCCAAAGAATGGAACCATATTCTATTATCGGCCTTACAAGCACACAGTATAAATTTTTGAGAGAATAGGTTAGATTGAAATTAGAAGAGAAGCGTTTTATAAAACCTAATGTCTTTAAAGATTTACAGGTGACGTGCTCAATGTGGGAGTGGTAGTCTAAGTTTGAAGTTAGAAGGATACCCAAATCTTTCTTTACAGTAACTCGCGTTATGGAATGGTTGTTAAGAGAATAATCGAATAGAATAGTAGCTTGGCGTCTAGTAAAGGACATAATCTGACATTTGCTGATGTTGAGGTATAGTCCATGGTTCTCTAACCAGGTGGATAAACAATTGAATTCACTCTGAAGGCGTATGCAATCATCAATGGAGTTGACGCATGAAAATAATTTAACATCATCAGCAAAAGCCAAAAAACGGCAGTGCTTAAGAGCAGAATTCAAGCCGTTAATAAAAATAGCAAATAGAATTGGAGAAAGATGACCACCTTGAGGGACCCCTGAGGTAACGTTTATCAAACTTGAGCGACAATCTAAAATTTTTACCCATTGCTTTCTCATAGTTATGTATGATTTGAACCAAGATAGTAGCGGTTCGCCGAAGCCTGCTTTGTAAAGAACGTCAATGAGAATATAATGGTCTACTTGGTCAAAAGCTTTGGAGATGTCAGTGAAAATTACATCCACTTGAGAATGGTTTTCAAGAGCCTGTAAAGTGTAGTTGTTAAATACCATACTATTGAGAGTGGAGGATCTATTAGGCCGAAAGCCATATTGCTCGTCGATAAGAATAGAGTTAACTGGAGATTGAATACTACGGACAACTAGGTATTCAAAGAGCTTTGCAAGATGACTTAGAACAGATATAGGCCTGTAATTACGGATGTCATCACGATCTCCGGTTTTGTGGATAGGAGTGACAGAAGATAATTTACAAATGTCAGGGAAGATACCGTCATCAAGTGAACGCCTAAATATTATCCATAGGGGGACTGAAATTACAGATTTGATATTAGCTAAGAAAGAACCAGGAATACCATCCGGACCAGCACTTGTAGTGTTTGATAGGGTTTTTAATTTAGTTTCTATATCGGAAACTGAAAAGTGACAGTTACTAGGCAATTGGTGAAAAAGAAATGGGGTACTAGGTAAGGCAGAGCTACTAGATGGTTTGTAAACGGAAGCGAAGTGAATGGAGAACATGTTAGCTATTTGTTCCTTACCTGAGTATTGTTGAGCGTCTAGATGCATGACATTAGGTAGCCCAGAGCTTGAACGACTCTTGCGTACTAATTTCCAGAAAGATTTTGGGTTGCTATTAATTTGGCATTCAATATGAGTTAGGTAATTATTGTGACATTTTCTGGACAAGTATTTAAACTGTGCACGTAATTTAGAGAATGCAGAATAGTCCTGCTGGTTGTGTGTAGCTTTGAAAGTGGCATGTGCTCGTTTTTTAGTGAACACTTATGTTTTTAATTCCTTTGTGAACCAGGGAGGAAACTTTGAAGGAGTAAAACGAATTTCGGGAATGAAGTTGAGTATAGAGTAGTGTAAGGCATCATACAGGCAATAAGCTGCAGAATTTGCATCAAGGTTGAGTAAAGTTGAGGACCAATTGAAAGAATTTAGGAAAGCAATTATTTTTGGATAGTCAGACTTGCGAAAGTCAAAAAATGTATGGGAGTTATTTACAAAGGGTATATGAGGGATGTTTAAAAGTGAAATCTCTAAAGCTGGGTGAAAGGAATCACAGGGAACGAGATGGTTGAGACTCTTTTCAACAGAGATATTTGCAATATTTGAAAATATTAGGTCAAGTGTGGATTGAGAAGAGTTGAGGACAGAGTTATGCTGGAAAAAGTTTAAGGAAGCGAAGGTTTCGGGAACACAGGAGCCAGAAGAACCAGAGGTTGAAGAAAAAGTTAGTCCATCAGAGTCGTTTGACCAAGATAATCCAGGTAGATTATAGTCGCCACAGAATAAATATGTATTGGTAGGGTTCGCATTGATTAAGGATTCAACCGTTGCCATGTGAGATTCATATAGAAGAGAGGGACTAGAAGGAGGAATATATACACTGGAGACAACATAATTAGTGTTCTTGTAGTGGAACCCTATAAATAGGTGTTCTACTGAATTATTAGAGACAGTTATTGGGTAAGATATGATATCTTTCCGAATAGCAATGAGAACCCCACCGCCCCTTTTTAAGTTACTCGTAAGGTTACTTCTATCACATCTATATACAAAATAATTAGATAATCCTAATTCACTAGATGATATATTACAATGTAACCATGTTTCGGTTAAAGAAATAAATATAAAATTAAAGCTAGATACATTACAAATAACATTGCGTAGTTTAGTTCTTAATCCTCTGCAATTCTGGTAGAAACCAAAAGATTCAGTGAGGGCGTTGACAGAGGATGTGTTTAAGCGGCTAGTTGACTGGTGTGAGAGAGACGCCCTCTGGTGTGGTTTTTTGAGATGGAAGAGATGATTTGTGGAATTCCGTTGATGTAGTTTATGGATAAGTTAATTTCCCCATTTTGTTTGCGATGATCTAGCTCTTCGTGAAGTTGACGTAGTAACTTACGTTCGAGTTTAGATTTATCTCGAACAAATTTGATGCCGGGGGGAAGATTAACATGACTCTTTCTAGCTTCACTAAGCGAAGACAGAAGGCATGCTGCTTCAGCCTTAGAATTAAGGATGATTTTTAGAGGACGAGGGGTGTTGGTGACATTTTTTCCTAGCCTGAATAGTTTAGCGTCAGTAGGGAATTTGAATGACAGATTGGAGAATACATCAGAGACGGATTTCGTGTCATCAGCAATTCTTTCTTGAGGCGTGCATGAAGTGGGTTCAGTGAAACCATAGGCAATTACATTAGAACTACATTTATCACGTTCAGAGAGTTCTTGGATAAGTTCAAGTAGAGGGGGTTGAGGGGAGGACGTATTTGGTGTAGATTCAAGTAGGTGTATTTTGCTTTTCAAAGCAGTTAGTTCAGCACGAAGATTGGAGTTTTCAGCTTTCAGATCGGATATTTGAGTTGAAATGTTACCAAGGTTTGACTTGAGTTCTTCGAACTGAGCAGATTGTTGAGCACTGGTTTGCTGGTTTAATTTTAGAAGTTGTTGGTGAGAAGATTCCAATTTAGCAATGGCTTTGAGAATATCATCAGATTGAGAAGACGACAATGCACTCCGGGTGACCGGTTTACTAATAGTACCGGTAAGGGAGAGAGGAGAGATATTCGTTTTCTGCGGCATAATGAATAGCGCCGTAAATAGAAAATAGACTGCAACCAATGATACACTGGCGGAAAGTAGGTGGCAGTAAGAGAACGGCTGCGAATATTAGGAACAAACGATGTTCCGACTCCTCCACGCAGTACGCGAGAGACAAGACTAACGCACGCGAAAACACTTAGAATCTCACTGATAACGGAGCGAGGCAGTAACGCACGTCCGTTCATTAACGATGATAGAACTGTACTGTGCTAAACTGTACTGTACTGTACTGTTGCTTCGATTAAATGACCCGTAGTTCCGGACAGTATGTCCTCTGGGCCGGTTCACGGTCGCCGGCTGGGCAACCGACCCAGGCGGTGGTGCTCTCAATATGAGTTGAGGGCACGGGCGCCGGAGTTCGCTCCGTCCAGCAGCCGGGCGTCTCAGCGTAAGCCGGGCTTGGGCATGTCTCCGGGACACTGCGGTGAGTGTTACGGGCTCGCGGCTGATGGCTCGTCTGCTTAGAGTCCCTAATTCGGTAGGCGAGGGTGGTCGTCGCAAAGTGTCCCACCTTTGACTGAAAGGTAGGGCTGTCGTCAGCTTGGGCTGGGCGCCTCGGCTCGGCAGGCATCCGGGTCGGGACGTTTGGTCAGACTGACCCAAGGATACGGGTCCTTGCTGATGACGGTTCGAAAGGGTGGTGGCCGAGATTAAATTCGCACCCCGCGGACGCTCGTCTGCGGTTAAGGCAGACCAATGCCCGTCATGTCGGACCAAAACTGGTAGCTTTCGAGGGGGCGCAAGTGTGACTGAACACGCTTCAGTGCCACGGGAGTGAGCGGGGCCCCGTCGGCTACGACGCCGCTCACCGCGGGCGTCCAGCGATGGTTCACGCCCCTGGACGTCCGTTGCCGGTAGGAATCGTGGTGGCGGTTTTCTTAAACGAATACTTTGTGGTTAAGTCAACAGATGCTTATTCTAAGTTCTCGCTGACAGGCGAAAACCTCTGATGAATGGCCGTCACGACCCGTGGGCGCGAGTCACCGGTTCGTGGTCGGTTCCTCTCGGGCGTCTAGCCGCTATACCGGTGTAGTATCATCGGAGGTTGAGTGTAACCAGAAACACTCGGTGTGGGGATAGCGCACAGCCAGACCAGGCGAATTCAGGCGGCACTTGGCCAGTATTCTTGGTACGGGACCTCGGTTCCGGTGCTCGTGGTCCGTAGACGACGCGCGGTCGGCGGACTGGGCCACCGTACGTCGACCGTGAACCTCCGCGGCTCTCGACTAGCGCACAGCGCTAACGTGAGGTCCGCGGTTGTAGCCGCAAGGCGTCAAACCCGGGAGCTTCGTGTACTGTACTGTTCAACTAACGTTGTATTATACTCCAAAGGTTTTAGTACTGGGTTGAGATAATTTATAATTATTTTTGCTCGATTTGAATATGTTGTAGCTGTTATTCCTTTATTGATTATATCTGATATGAAATGAAAAAAAATATTGTCGTTTTCTATAATTGTATCAATGTGTTTTTTATAATTTACACTATCACAATACGCTGTCATAAATAATGAGACTAGTGTGTCGAATGCACACGTGTTGGTAAGTACTACATTTCCTATTTCCGATATAGTACAACTTTTCAATTCATCTGCTCTGGATCCATTTTTTAGCACTGGGAATGATTTTATATTTTTAGATTTATTTAATTGTAAATGACGTAATAAAGGGTTCGGCATTAAATAAGATTTATTTGTTTTTTGTCTTTTGCTTTTCCTGTTCCAGCTTTCAGAAACTACGTCTTCGTCTTTCAAATTAGTATTTGTGGTTTTTGTGAAGCATTTTCTACATATTCTCCTATCTTCTTTTCCCAATTCATGACTTGAACAAGAAGGAAGTGCGTGTACTGGTGTATCACATATCACGCATTTATGAGCCCCATTTTCCACTGGCAAATTACCCGTCTCACACAGTGGACAACTGTCAATAAGTTGTAATATATTTTGAGGAGTTACGATAATAGCATCTTCATTTTCAATAACTTCTGTTTGATTATTTTCTTGGATTTCTTGAGTTGGTGATCCAGCTGTTGATTGGCTATTGTAACTTGTCGATCGAATAAGTGATGCTCCTTGTAGTGACGATATATGGTGCTCTAAAAATTCTTCGATGTCCACAGGTAATGTCATATGTTTAAATGTAATATTTTTGAGTTTCTTGAAACTTGATTCAACAGCAGCTGAACTGGTCGTTGTTTCACCATACCCGAAAAATGGAACCATTATAGATGACCACAATGGTAAAAGTTTCATGCATTTTACTACACAAGTTACCACACTAGGCAAATACATCGCATTTAAACCTCTACCTTCACGAATATAACATTTACTTTGTTTATGTATGTCTTCAGCCCACAGTTGAAATGGGCTATTATTATATTCAAACTCATTATATTGATATTCATATTCTTCATCAATAGGTCCGTCTCTTTCTATTTCAATAAATCCTAACAAATCTTCTATTTCAACGAAATCAGTTGTTGCAGCTTGAATAATTATTCTCTTATGTTGTTCACACGGTGTGTCGTCTTCTGTCGCTAAATGTTTTCCATCTGTTTCATTTATTACAACAATAAACAATGATAATAGTATTTGTCGAATGAAATTTATGGATTGACTTTTTAAAATAACTCCAATAACACGTAAAATTATTTCTCTCACTCGTCTTGGTGAAGTCTTTAGTGGTGCCCACTTACTTACCAATTTTATAAAATGGGCAACATCAGTTCTTATGAAGCACTTCGGTAACCAATATGAATCTGATGGTAGGTTTTCAAAAACTATGTCAGCACAAATTTTTATATAATCTTTTAATGAAGAATACTGTGTAAAACATCGTGAAATCGCTGAAAGAAGTGCTATTGATTGATCACAAACTGTTTCTTTGGGATTAGGTACGTCACAACTAATCCATTTTGCCAACCAATTAAATATTGCAATGCTTGTGTGTCGTTCACTAATCATGTTAGTTACAGTAAAGCTATTATTTTTAATATTGTCGTGAACTAAAGCTTCATAGACGAAAAGACAACGAGTTTTCTCAAAACCGAATTTTGAAAAGTTTTTAACTACCGATCCCGTAGCATCGATGACCAACCGAGGATGTTCAACACTTTTGCAATAATTTCTATAAATATGTATTTGTTCGGTACAATGATAATGGATAAAGAATGGATCAGATCCCATATCTCGTAAGATGTCCTTAAAATCGTCTTCTTTTTTCATCATAGCTAATCCTTTAAGTGTATCAACGTCTCTTTTATTTTTTTTATATTGACGTGACTTCATTATACGCAATGCATTACCTGTTGGAATTATGGCAGGATCTGGTGCACCTAAATACCATAAACTTAATTCAATATAATGTTAATAACAAATTGTTATATAGGGCTGATAAATGATAAATGTTATATAATCTATTTTTTTCTTCACTCAAACTAATCTTGAATGTAATTAACTTAACAAACCTTGAATTTCCAGAAGGTTTTTCTTTAACAATCCCTTTAAAGTGAGAACAACAAATCGAACACCTTCCTATGACACAAATATACACGTTTCCTTCCGTGAACACTTTAGCTCTCTTGAATGATACAACATGGCAAGTTCGTGTGTTCCCAAAAATGTTCAGCCAACAGTGGGGTCCACGAGCCTTTTGGTAAGACATAATAAGAACGACAGCTTCTCATAGGACGGTTTTTATCACTTGCTTTGTAAATAACTTCTTGAGGCTGTATTTGCTGCCATTCGGATGGTGAAAATGTAAAGACAAATTCTTTTTTTGGCAAAAAATCAGGATTGTCACTATCATCAGTCAAGTCTATTGCAAATAAATACACAAAATAAATGTTATAAAACAATTTTAACTTTTTTGAATGAGTGCATGATAAATGTGATATTCATCACAAATCATTTTTTTTAACTCTCGTAATTTACCTTCATTTAGAACAAATTGGAGTATTTATTGCATACTTTTATTTCAATGTAAGATCATATAATTATTATGTAAGCAAAAAAAATGCATACCTGAATCAGTTTGACAATACAACTCATCTGGTTTCTTCATTTGATTTGTATTTTCCTGTACTATTGCAGGAAGTAAGCCTAATGCTTCTTTTACTCCATGTCTGCCATTATGAACAAACAAATGTAATGCATTTTTACTTATCCTCCCATTTAAATGCATACTTATATCCATCCATACATCATTTGTTCCAACAACAACGTCTAATAAAATTAATAAACATAAAATTCATAGATAAAAAAGCGGGTAAGTGGGTATCGCTCTGCTGTACATTACGTGTATATGTATGTGGTGCCGTATGGATTACTATTATATATTATAGAAATGTTAAATTTGAATGTAATGATAGGTATCATGTAAAGAAAATGCCAATTTAAATAACTGGTGACATTTTCAAGTATCTTGTACGACTTATACTTTTTGAATAATAACAAATATTTAAAATCGTTTGAGCACAAATCGTTATCGTTACGTGTTTTCGTAAAAATCTAAAATTCAAACGTTCATAACATTTTTCCTATAATGACACTTTTATCTATAGCTACTAGAAAGAAAACTTATGGAAAACTTAGTGTTGAATTTTTTATACTTAGATATAAACAAAAAAAAGGTGGGTAAGTGGATGTCGCTCTGCTGTACTGTAGGTTACAAGTGGGTCAGGGTACAATGGATGGTATTAAATTTGAATTCAATGATATAATATCATTGTATAAGAAAAACGATTCTGAGTGGAGACGGTATGTCAATCTAGGTATAAGACATAATATATACTTATCGATGATATTAAAAAAAAAATTGACCTATAATGGATACCTATAATAAATTCCAAATTAATCATATCACAATATCCATTAGGTATCATATATCCCCGAATAATATTTTTAAATTACAACGAAAACCAAGATCGTAAATATTGATTTTAATATGTAATTTCGTCTAATTGGTCGAAAACAGGTTTTG